CTCACTCATTCTGCCTTGCGCTGCTGGTGGCTGGAACACTGCCCCACCTAGCGCTGGAGGAGGCAGGAGAAGCTGGCGCCAGGGAAGAAGAAACAGCGCCAGCCAGGAGAGAGGAGAGAGACACTAGTCGTAGCTCTAGTAGGGCACCGAGCGCCATAGCTGTAGTATAGACAAGAGAGTGGAGAGGGCCTGGAGTTGAAGGGGGATGGAATCGCCGTTCAATTTTATTCATTGATAATTGATGAAACTTTCCTCCTCCTCCTCCTCCTCTCCACTTCTCTTCTACCTTTGTCTTATTTTTGGATACTCACTGCCAAGGTTTCAGAGTACATTTACGCGGGATGAGACTACACGCATGATTCTGTTGTTGAAACCTTCTCACGAGTTTGGTGTTCGTGACAACCGGCATCTAATGACTTGTATAATTCTATATGGGACGTTGAGCCTGGTTCCCAGCACGTGCTGGTCCCCACACATAGACTGGAGTGCAAGGAATATGAGCGAGAGTGATATACAGAAAACCAAATTGCAAAATCATGCAGAAGTCCAGATAGTCATGTACAAGCAGAGAGCTCAAATGCACCAAGATTCCATCCAAATGTTCAAGCCCTCAGGCCACACCAACGCAGTAGAACAGGCTCACTTCGACTCTGAAGACCAATGTACATGTCGTCAACACCAATGCCGAACTCCCACATACACCAGGTACGTATCCTCGTCTCCCTCATCACCCCCTGTCACCTACTTCTGTGCCTCCTCCCGAAGACCCTCCTGTCGCCCTTCACCTGCCTTGCGCCCTGCTGCCCTGCAGTGCCCTCACCTCGTAGCGCAGGTGCGTGCCCCAGCCAGCAGCTGCGCAATGCGGACACTTGCACGCTAGCACAGCAGCGTGTCCGCAACGTCAGCATTGGCCAGAATCCCTCTCCCTGGCTGCCCTGCTTCCTATATGGAAGTGGCAGCCACTTCTGGACTGTGTGGGCCTGGCCGTGGAGGTTTCCAGTAGCTTCCAGTCGGGCCCCAGTACGTGTGCCCAGGCCCTTGTTCGGCAGTTGAGGGTCTGGGGCCTTTGCAGTTGGGCAGACCCAGTATTTTCCAGACTCCGACTGTTTGCTGCATTTGCACTAGTCCAGTGGCAGATACGACGGCAATGCTGCTTTCTTGTTGGCCCGCGGCTGCTTCGTGATTTATCGGCCTCAACATGTGTGTGCCCAGGGCACAACCACCCGGGCCCTGGGCTCAACTGCCTGGCGCAGTTGCTTCCTCTGGGGAGCCCAGGGTAAGGCTCAGGCTGTACTTCAACCAACTGTCGTACAGCAACTGGCTGAGACCCATATTGGAAAATACTGAGATAGAGAGGCTTCTTGTGAAGAATCAGGCCCGCCTTCACTTAGGGCGGGCATGAGACTTGCTGGGGGCCCACAGGCAGAACATATGCGTGTTGTCTAAGGGCCCCTGAGGCCACGTTCCTCACAGGAACACTTGTCCTTAAACCACCAGTACTTGGCCCATACATCGGCCACGGGGTGTTGTCGTTAACGCTTCGCAATTTCCGGAGTCCCGGGGTACCGGACCTCAAAGGCTGACGCCGCCAGCCAAAACAATTTTTTTTTTTGTTGCGCTAGCGGGTCGCCGCAAAACGGCGTGCGGCCCGTTTTCAGGCTCGGCATCGATAGCTGGGCCAAGTACTGGTGGTTTAAGAAATACTGATGATTTAAAACTTAAAGAAACTGTGTTTTTTTCCTTCTTTTTTTTTTTAACACTTCGTTTCATGGAAAAATATTAAAATAATGTTTGAGGCCGGGACAATTCAACCTGGGGCTATCCTGGGAGCATTACCCAGTGTAGCTTACGAGCAAATTAATAACTCTCTGATTTTTTCTCGCAGAAAAAGCCTGCACATAAAGGAATACAACTGAGGTTGTGGAGTTATGGGTTGGCACCGACCTCCGCCCCCAGCTTGTATGCATAGATATACTGCAACAATCGATACTTGAAACTGGACTTAAAAAGCGCAAGAGGTTAGGTAGCTTAGTTAAACAAAAACAAACAAAAAACTGACATTGGGCAAGGAATATGAACGAGAGCGACATGCAGAAACCCAAATTGCAAAATCACTCAGAAGTCCAGATAGTCATGTACAAGTAGAGAGCTCAAATGCACCAAGATTCCATCCAAATAAGAGCAATACAATGAACTCATGAGCCAATGTTCAAGCCCTCAAGCCACACCAACGCAGTATTCAATGCCGCTCCTCTCTGTCTGGCGCCCAGCGCCCAGCCTACTCTACTTGCCTACCTAGCCTATCTATGTTCGTACAACAGGCTCAGTTCGACTTTGAAGACCAATGTACGTCGTCAACACCAATGCCGACCTCCCACATACACCAGGTACATATCCTCGTCGCCCCTCATCATCCCCTGACACCCACTTCTGCGCTTCCTCCCAAAGACCTCCTGTCGCCCTCCTCTGCCTCGCGCCCTGCAGCCTGGCTATGGCCGCTAGTGCCCCGCTGGCCCTGCAGCGCCCGCGCGCGCCTTGGCCCAAGCTAGCGCATGCAGACACTCGCTTGTTAGCGCAGCAGCATGTCAGCAATGCCCGCACTGGCCAGAAATGCCTCTCCCTGGCTGCCCTGCTTCCTATATGGAAGTGGCAACTGCTGCTGGACTCTGTGTGGGCCTGGCCGTGGAGTTTCCAGTAGCTTCCGGGAGGGCCCAGTATCTGCACCCCGGCCAACTCTGACAGTTACGGGCCTGGGCCCCTTTTAGTTGGGCAAGCTCAGAACTTTCCAGGCTTAGAGTTGTTTGCTGCATTTGCACTGGCCCACGGGATAAGATAAGACGACAATGTTGCTTTCTTGTTGGCCCGTGGCCACTTCGTGATGTGTCGGCCTCTCAATGTGTGTGCCCGGGGCACAACCACCCAGGCCCTGGGCTCAACTGCCTGGCGCAGTTGCCTCTTCTGGAAGAGCCCAGGGAAAGCCCAGGTTGCTCTTCAACCAACTGTCGTGCAGCGACTGTCTGAGACCTGCATTGGAAAAATGCTGAGATAAGGGCCTCCTGTGAATATTCAGGCCCGGCTTCACTTGGGGCGGGCACGAGGCTTGCTGGGGTCAACAGTCAGGACATATGCATGTTGTCTAAGGGCAGGACACATTCCTCACAGTTGACCAAAAAAAAAGAAAAAAAAAAGAAAGGAATTTACCGTTGACTTAACAGAGCGGTTTGTTGTGCTGTGCACTCAGTCTGCACCATGCCATGGCTGTAGTGGTTAAGAAACTCGGCTCGTGAGGCTGAGGTCGCCGGTTCGAATCCGTGCGTGCACGGAAGAGGTCTGGGGCTGATAAAAGAACAGACTGCACTATAGCTCGTTTCTGGACCTGCTTGTATGCATCAGGACTCACCCGATTCATTGCCCAACTTTTTTCCCTTTGCATTTCGCACTGTTTGCCGGAGATGATGAAGACATCAAGACTCAGGCCGGGGCTACAGAAAGAAAAGCTATGGACCTTGAGGCCCTAGAAAAATTAAGAACTGAAATCCATCGTCCAGGTGCAGAAGCAGAAATTGTTGTCCTGCATTGACACCACTACCTTTCAGGCTGGGAGGCTAAGTCATGAAAGTAACCTATACCGCATTCTTCGGAGGCTGGCGGAGGCCGTGCGCTACCGGACCTCAAAGACTGGCGGCGCCAGCCAAAAGAAAACGGAAAACTCCGCGCTGGTGTGTCGTCCCCCCATTGGCGAGCAGTTCGAATCCACCTCGGCAAAAAGAGGCTCGGAGGTAGTGGTGGCTTAAGCCAGCTGAATAGCAAATGGAGGCTGATAAAACGGCTGCACAGGTCATTGAAAGAGTTCACGCTGCAGACACCCAGCCCCGGTCCCAAGGTCCTGATAAGCCCTTAAGTCCCAGGGCCGTTCTGTAGGGTAGGTCGTCGGACCCTAAGGTCGAAGCGTCGCAGGTCCGTAGTTGTAGGTACCGAAGCGTCGTAGGTCGGTAGGGGTCTGCCCGGTACCCGACAAGAATGAGTGGGTACACCTATGCACTGTTGAAAATACAGACCCGTGTTCGAATGCAGATGATGGAAGTTGACGAGTAAAAGTTGTAAAACCAACTATTTCTGAATTACCTGGGGCCAGTCAGCTTAAGCGGAAAAAAAAAAACTCCAGAAACGTCCAAGTCCAGTCCGACAGTCCCCAGGTCCAATTTTGCAGCATGTCCCAGGAAAGTCCGGAAGGTACCGGACCGCCAAAATGTTTGCAGCAGACTGGGACAACTTTACAACTCTTTCCATTCAAACCAAACCAAATCTGATCTGATCTAAAAAGCAGAGCACTGAGATAGATGATACATGCCTGCATGACACAGGTCTGTGAGCTGCTGCTGTCGCAAAATGGAAAAGAAAGACAAGGACCATGGAGATTGGATTTACTCATGCTGGACACACATTGTGCACAAGTACATATATGTGCATGTGATATCACATCTGGCCATTTGCAGAAATGGTGATGTTCATGTGGTGCTGTCCCATGAACTAAGGACAGAATGCCAACAATTACAGTTTTTGGTGCAAGTGAAAGAGAAAGGTGAAACAACAGGGAGAAAGACAATGGCACAGCCGATGTGAAACCAAAAGAGAATTTACATAAAGCGACCAGCATAGAGACGAATGCCGCCCCCTCCAGACAACTTGATATAAACTGCTCACGTCACTTGCTGAGCTGACCCCATTTTCAAAGTCAAGGCACACACACACAAAAAAAAAACAGATTGCATATCGCTGCCCATAGTGCAGCCTCCTAAGATGAACAAAAGCAGGTCGACGAATGGGGGTGATTGTTTCCATCTTGCCCTTATCAAGAACAAAAACATCACTGCAATACACACACACACACACACACACACACACACACACGCACACACACGCACACACACACACACACACACACACACACACACAACCATACATAGCATTCAGTCTATGAAAATTATGTGCTAGCCCACCTCAAATTTGGCAGCTCCAAGGTCAATTATCCACTTCACGTCCCTAGCCACCTCAGGATCTGCAGAATAAGGCCATAAAATATTGCGCCATGATCCCATGTTGCCCCAACAGCAAGAAAAGCACTTTCAATTTTCAGACGAGTGCCTCTCTTTCTACGGTTCCATCAGAGTTCTTTGTTTTCGTTTCATGGATGGCGCCTAACTGAATCTCTACTCATGCAGCAAGTGAAACTTGGGCGTTCACAACAACTGTTTTCATGAGGTTTGTGGCGGTTGAAGAGGTTAGGGTGAGCACTGAGCAGGAAGGCATCATTAAAAATGGCCATCAAAGCAAGGAAAACGGCCGTATCATGCATGGGCCTCCCACACAGGCCCTGGGGAACCCCAACTTGATCATATGGGTGCCCCTATGGCCACACGACACATTTTTGGGTGGCCATAGGGACACCATACATTTTTCGGCCCTCGGTTCATTTGTAATGAACCCAGACCGTGAAGACAGTTGTCAACAATGCAAGTCCAGAAGAGTGTCAACCAGTTGATGATTACCAATAGTCAAAATCGTATCCAGACATAATGAGGTGAGATAATCATACACAGACGAAGGAGAGAGGAGGGAGATTAGACAAAGGAGAGGAGATAATTACAAGGCCCACTCCTGCTTCGGGCTCCCTCCTCGATCACCACCTCAACAACCAATAGTCTGAACGAGTATCTGAAGTAACCTCATTGTGCCACGTGGCACGTCTAATCAGTCCTTCATCAATGCTGGAGCAATGTCGACATGAAGACAACCAGGTACATATCCACRATCTCTCCACAGTCCCGATCTCCTCCTGAGTAGCGATAATCAGAACAGCAATACAGGTCCCGTAGCCTCGCCTCGTCAGCAAACAGAAGAACACGTGGCAGCAGCCACGTCAGCCAAHGATACACGTGGCAGCAGCCACATCAGCAACAGCGCATGGCAGCTGCCACATCAGCATGCCAGGAAGACAGGTGCAAGCCAGCCACTATGCCGGACCAGCAGCGCGTCGCCAAAGTCACAATGCCGACATAAGCCAGCGTCCAGCCAACGTCGCMGCATCGAGCCAGYRTCGCAGTCAACGCGTGAAGTCAGCGTCAACGCAAGACAGAATGAATGTCAAAKCCAGGAAGTCAGWGCTTATGTAGCCTTGACGCGGGGTCTGGACCCCGGATGCCGCATCCCTCAGCCRTCCAGATCTCAATGCAAGCGAGGGCCCAGATTGGTCTGAAACCGAATTCTCCCTGGTCTGGATGCTGTCTGGGTACCTGCGCACAAACAAGTGAGTGTATCCAACCAAGGGCCTGKGCGCGGTACCTTTGACTGTACAGTTGACTTTGACCCTTGAATTTCCATTGTGCAGCRTTTGGTCCCACAGCCAACGCAGCAGCCTCAAGTCTGGGCGTGTTTCGGTCACACAGCCCAGTGCAGACCGACTCAGGTCTGCGTTGCCTGGGGCTGAGTTCTAGGCCCCAGGCTACTTCTGAACAGGGTTACTGCATTCCTGTCGGCCCATTTTCGAGTTCACCGCAGAAATTTTAAGACTTTAACCCTCGTTTATAAGCAGCAACAATATCAGGAGCAGTCTCAAGTAGTTCTCTTTTACTAAACCATCTGTCCTCAGATGGTGCATGAGACTTGAAACGTACCTTGAACTGCTTCTGAGGTTGTCCACGTGATCCCGTAGAGAAATATCCATGCTCTATGATTTTGTCTACTTCATATCTGTCGTCCATAGATGGCGGAATCATAGAGGGTCGGCTAGGAAATTCTTTCCCTTCTACATAGGGCATCAGTTTGGACGCGTGAAAGATAGGATATGTTTTGAGATGAGGGGGAATATCAATGCGATAAGACGGTCCCTCTGCATCTCCAATTACTTTGAGAACTTCCCAGGGTCCAAAGTAGACAGGCAGAAGTTTCTGAGACACATTTTCTTCTAAGGAAAACTCTTTGGACTTTACCCAGACGAGATCACCTTCCTTAAAGGTAGATGGTCGACGATGTTTATTCGCTTGTTCGATCATTTGGTCCTGAGCTTTCTTTAAGTTATCTTTTACCTTCTTTATGTCTTCTTGAAACAAGACTGCTCGTGTCCCTGGAGGTAACCTAAGGAACTGGTCCCGCGTTAGCACATCAATGGGACACCTAGGTTTCCATCCCTTGTGTAGTGCATTTGGTGTACGACCTGTAGCCGTGTGAACACTGTTGTTATATGCATTTGGTGTACGACCTGTAGCCGTGTGAACACTGTAGCTATTTTGGGTAAGTTCTCATCCCAATCAATCTGATCGGGTTTCACATACATGCGCAAGAGCTGTTGGCACAATCGGTTCATCTGCTCACGTTGTCCGTTCGTTTCAGGAGTCGTCCTGACGACATGGTCAAATGTGTACCGTATGCTTCCATCAGCTTTTGTCATGGCATACTTGTGAACCTTGCATCACGATCAGACACAATGGAGAGGGGAAACCCATATTCAGTTATCCATCGCATTTGAAACTTTGGATCACAACTTCAATTCTTGCTTCAGCAGGTAAGGGAATAAACATGGCATATTTAGAGAAACGATCCACAACAACCATTACTTGACTATTACCATTACGGCTCTTGGTGAGGCTCATGAAATCAACTGAGATGGACTCACCTGGTTCACTCGAAATTGGTAATGATTTTAGGAGACCAAGTGGATTCTCATGTGAAGGTTTGTTTCTCTGACACACCAGACAGGTACGCACGTAAGTTAGTACGTCTTCCTTTAATCCCTTCCATTCAAAGCGCTCCCTAACCTCTGCGTAAGTTTTCTTGAATCCAAAATGACCCTCAAAATCATGACATTCCCCAATTAAGAGACTTTTAATCTCTTCCTTGTGAGCAATATACAATCTTTGTTCAGTCTGGTCTAACAAGAAAAGCAAACCAATTATACGATAGTTGGGAAGTAGAGTTGGGTCTTTTGCAAGGACATCAATGATAGGCTTCCAAATAGGGTCAGTAGCATATCCTTGCCGAATTCTATCTTTCAAATCATTCCCAACATCCAAATAAGAGACAATTGCACCAAAGTAATCACTCCGTCTGGACAATGCATCTGCGACCACATTAGACTTACCTTTGATTGTTTTTAACTCAAAATCCAAGGTATCAATAAACGCAGACCATCGTACCAGCTTATCAAAGAGCCTAGGCTGTGTCTTTATCCACTTCAGGGTAGTGGTCTGAGTACACAGTAAAGTGCCTCCCTAATAATTAGTGTTTCCATGTGTTTAGTGCACTGACTAATGCATACAGCTCCCTTCATAGGTGGAGTTGGCAACCTTTTCCGACAGCAGTCGGACAGACATAAACTCTATGGGCCTGTAGCCCTTGCCGTCATCTTGCTGGAGAACATCGCCAATCCCATACTGACTTGCATCAGTAGTGACAATGAAAGGCAAAGATGGATCAGCAATTTTGTAGAACAGGATAGTGAGTCAATGCATACTTCAGTTTCCGAAAGGAAGACTCACAATCCTTATTTCACAACCAGATAGTTTCTTTCTACAACAATCTTCGCATTGGTGCTGCAATCAGTGAGAAAAATTCCTGACGAACTTCATGTAGTAACTAACTAGCCCAAGGAAAAATCGCAATTCAGTAATAGACTTAGGTTGTGGCCAATCTCTAATTGCTGAAATCTTTCTCTCTTTTGGCCTTATACCTTCTTCGTTCACTATATGTCCTAGGTATAACACTTCAGACTTAGCAAACTCAAACTTCTTGGCATTGATCTTGAAGATGCCCTCTCGCAACTTCTCTAGCACCAGACGAAGGTGCTTCTCATGATCTTCTAGTGTTTTGCTATACACTAGAATATCATCGAGATAGACAATGACAAACTTATCCAACCATTGACGAAACAAGTCATTCATTGACCTCTGGAAAGTGGCAGGGGCATTCGTTAATCCGAAGGGCATTACCACGAATTCATAGTGGTCATACCTGGTTCGGAAAGCGGTCTTATGCTGATCGGAGGGTTCCACCTCGATCTGGTGATACCCAAATTTCAAGTCGATCTTGCTAAAGTATTTGCAACCCTGCAACTGGTCAAGTAAGTCGTCAATGTGAGGAAGTGATTCATCATTCTTAACAGTGACGACATTCGACCCTCTATAATCAATACAGAGACGCAACTCACCGTCCTTTTTGGGCACAAATAGGACAGGGCACCATAAGGAGAAGAGCTAGGGCGAATCCATCCTTTCTCTGTTCCTGCAGTTGTTTTCTCAGTTCCTCAAGTTCCCTAACAGACATTCGATAGATAGGGCCCTTGGGAATCTTACTGCAAAGAATAATTTCAATGGTGTGCTTTATAGCACGCGCAGTTCTTCCTGTTGGTTCGATAAATAAGTCTTTATACTCGCTTAAGAGTTTTTCAGTCGAAAAAGGATAGGAAGTAGAAGACTCTCCGACTCTTTTTACTAAAACCATCATTACTTCATGTTCCAACTTCTTCTTTGAAACCATTGAACAAAAGGCTGGATAACTCATACAACGAAAAGACAGACTAGAGTCAGAGCCAGACTTATGAAACAATTTGATTGGTTTCAAATCAGACTGTGCGTCACGAAATTGCACAATATTTTCTTTGAACTTAATGTCTGGGTTGGCTTCCTCGTGCCAATCCATTCCCAGAATCAAGTCAAATGGCAAGTTCTTTTCTACAAGGAAGGATACCTCGTGAATAATTATCTTCCCTTCCTTGGTACGAAATTGACACTTCACACGGTCAACATACTGCGAGATAATGATCGTGCTTTTGTCAGCCAAAACAGACGTGATAGGTCTAGACAAGTTTTTCACCTTCATTCCGAGATGCAACTTGCGAATTGCTTTCTCGGATATGTAGGATCGCGTGGATCCTGAGTCCAATAGAGCACCTACGCGTGTACGTGCAATTTCTACATCCGCGAGTAGTAGGTCACCCTTAGATTTCTTAGCCCACGAGCTTCGTAATGCCAGCAACTCGTTACCAAGCTCGTCAAGAGAGTCATCCAGAGAGAGTGCATAAGACAGGTTCAGGGTGTTCTAGACGATGGGCCGAAGAAGAACCATCCTCTGTCGTATGAGTCAAAGGGTTGGAAGGGATCTTAGGCACCTTACCTTGTTCTTGATCCAAACCCTTGGACTCAGTAGGAGCAGATGCTACTCCTACTAGCTGTTTGCTTTTGGGTATCGAATCTATGGGCACCATGCAATCACATGCCCCGCGATGCCACACTTCAAACATTGCGCGTTGTTCATTCTTTCTTGCCACAATTCCTGCGATATACCCATCTTCTCCCATGGCTTCTCGGACGCAATCCTGAGATGTTCAGGGAACGAGCGTGGTTTCTTCTTCTTTCCTGGTGGTCGTGGTCCTCCCTTCTTAACCACAGCGGCAGTGACTTCCCCCTTCCCGGACTCACTGCTGCTCGTCACACCCTCGACCTCCAATGGCCACTTCTCCACAGTATCGTCATCAAAGACAACGAGGGTGTGGTCCTGACGCTTTTGGCGCCAGAGTACCTGCTTTCCTACACCTGCACCTCCTCCACCGCCATACTTTACTACAGAGGCATAATAATTCTTCACCTGTGAAGTCATTTGCTCTCGTTGGAGAGCCAGATCACGAAACTGCCTATAATTATATTTGTCGGGTTTCGAGTCTGCCACGAGTTGTCCACGAATGGGCTCGAGCAGAGCGCGAGAATAAATATAAAGGACTTGGTTGTCCTGAAGGTTCAATTCAGGAACCTGGTGCAACCGATCTACTTCCCGTGACAGTTGTTCTACAGAGGTCCAATGTCTTTGGTCAATGGTGGTGAGCTGGTTGAAGGCCTTATCGACCGTCGTATTGTCTAAAAAGCGTTTTTTTTATCTTGCCAAGGAACTGCTTCAGGTTCATTGTGCCAGCCCACTCGCCAATGTCCCCGCCACATTAGCTTCGGCCAATACCTATTTTTTTTGCTTCCCCCCCAAGACATGACGTAGAGAAAGCAACCTGAGAATCAAGTTCGACTGGGGCCGTTTTACAATACGTCTGAATCTCGGCAATCCATAACAACAAGTTTTCATCTTTCTTGTTGCAAAATGTGAAAGGCATTTTCATCTTCACCTTTTCCTTCTTCTTCAGTTTCTCTGGTTCCGTACTTACCTTTCCTTGCAGTGAAGCTGGAAACTTTGGAGGTGGAGAGGAGGGAGGAGAAGAAGGAGGAGTATTCGGTGGAGAAGACGACGGACTTGATCCCCCTCCACTAGACGACTTTCCCCCTCCATTAGACGGTTTCTAATCCTGAGGATCAGCGAACTTCATTGCATCACTCATCAACCTTTTAACTTGTTTCTTTTCTTCCTTAACCTCTCCTTCTTTTTCTTCTACCTGATGCTTCCCTTTCACAATGTTTGTGACAGTTCGCAACCCTACAGCAATTTCGTCTAACTGACATTGCTGTTTGTCAATCTTTTCTTCCAAGAAGATGAGGTAGGTCATGATGTGATACAATGTCTGTGTCATGTCAGTCTGTTCCTTCTCTTCTGTTACTATTACTTGTCTGATTTCATTTACTTTCTGTTCCCGTCTCAGTTCCTGTTCATGTTTCTGGGCTAGTTCTTTTTCTTCCTTTCTTCCGCAGCCAGCGCCTCTTTTAATTGTTGGATGTTTGCACTGTGAAACCGCACGTTCATTGAACGCGGGTTTTCCGTTCATAAATTGAACGGAATGCACGCGCGGACCGAACGCGGAGTTCAATTCCGCGCGGGAAAAAAAAAAAAAAAAAAAAAAAAAA